ACAAAGCCATCAAATGCCTCCATTTGGGAGCTGGGACTGGCACTAAATTTACATTTGCCTTGTCTGGGCTGGGGTTTTCAGAAAGCTCCCAGCTCAATTCTGTTACGGTGCATGGCATTGAGCAGAGACATTCAATGAAGGAGCTACACAGCATTTTACATTCTCAGCCCAAACAAATGAACACACAAAAAAAAGCTGTGCCTGATGGTGGAATAAGAATTATTCATACAAATAGGTAAAGAAGATTTAGATTTTAAAACTCTAACCAAGACAGAATATGGCACTTCTGCTTGTTTATTAGACATCACTTTTTTTTTATCAGGATCTGGAGCCTACCTCATCACCTGTGGAGAGTCTGATGGTGTTCTGCTGCCAGTGGTTACGGCAGTCCTTACGGACAGGGCTACAGCATAATTGGTCTCCCACCATTCACCTGATGGAAAGTCTCTGCTTCTTGCTGGGATGCGTGGGAACCTGGGTTATTCCATGAAAACAAAATCATTCCACTTCATGTTTCTCACATCAAAACTATTCATGAAATCTTACCACACTTGCCGCAGACTTTTGTTTTCTTAATAACCAGGAAAAGAACGACCTCGTTAAAGTGATGTGAGACATCACCCTTTGGATGTTTAACAACTTTTGGAAAACTTTCATTCTGCCGCTTTCTGACATGACTGAAGGCAACAGCATCTAAGTGATGTTTCATAGGCTATATCCAGATTATTAACTGTATTCAGAATATGATTCTTATCTTCTCAAATTTACTGGCTGAGAAAAATTTAGTAAAAATCTGTCAAAGCTCCTGATTTTGTTTTCTTTTCTCCCCTTTGGCACTGAAAACATGAGGTACTGCAGCATTTTACATGAGGATTTCAGAAATGTGGAAAATTATGGAAAGTGTGAGAGTCACAGGTAGGCAGGACGTAACTTCTCTAAGAATTCTGTAAGTGCTCCTCTTGTCTGTTATTATGTCAAAGTGGAGCATAACTTCTGAAGCTATCAGCAACCTAATCCTAAATCTAATCACCTAAAACCTAATCATAGAATCCCCAAGGTTGGAAAAGACCTCTAAGGTCACACAGTCCAACCGTCCACCTTCCACCAATACTCCCCATAAGCCATGTCCCTCAGTACAACATCCCAGTGCTCTCTGAACACCTTCAGGGTCGGTGACTCCCCCACTTCCCTGGGCAGCCCGTTCCAGAGCCTGATCACTCTTTTGGAGAACTATTTCCTAACGTCCAACCTGAGAAATCTCCAGCACTGGCACAACTGCAGGCAGTTTTACTTGATATGGGTGTGCCTGCACCCCCCTTCAGAAATACTCAAACTAAGCTGTAATGTAATGTGAACCTGAACAACAGGATTTTCAAAAAAATTCCTAAAACTCTGCTTAGAAACTATTTTCTAAATGAGCCACTCAGTATAACTGAAACTAAATATTAACAATTTCTACCTTGGGAAAAAAAAAAATGCTTTGTTCCACTCACCACTTAGTGAATATCATACATTTTATAAACAATTTTTTCTTTTCATCTTAGCTTCAGTACTGAAATTTGACTTTGCCCAGTGGTTCATTAGGAACAAGTGTCAACCGAAGTTCAGCTCTCCATTATACAGAGGGAGCTTTAAAGACAATGATCTGTGGCAGACACAAACAAAACCACGGCTCTATGCCTTTTAAACAAAACCCATTTCCCTCCCCCTTCCCTGCAGTAAACAGCTTCTGGCTGCAGATTTGGTCCTTTATAGAAGAGATTTTTAAGATCCCAGATGACCTGTCCAGCAGCCTGGTAATCCTCAAATCATCTGCTTGCCATCCTAATGTGGAGATGTCACTGAAAAGGCTTGTTGACAACCTTCTGTTACATGAAAGATAAGTCTGTAAAACTGCGACCGTTTTAGTGGGTTAAACTTTAACACATGGCTGAATGAAACTCCCCTTTCTGATAAATTCATGGAAGACTGCTGGCAGAAGAAAATAGCATGGAAAAAAATACATCTTTTCCAGTTCACTTTGGGTTAGGGTAAGTGAGAGTGATTTGTATAACACCTTGTGAACTCTCTTAAACATATTTTAAAAGTTATTATTTCGCAAGTCTGAATGTCCTTTCCATGCACATCCTCGTGCAAAATGTTTTAAGCCATCTAAGCACCGTGTTTTATATCAGTATTTAGTTATTTTGTGTATAACAGGTTTGCTTAACAAGGACTCACGTGGCAAAAACACAACAATCAAATGCATTAGTGTCTCCCAGGCTCTGATATTATCAGCATCTATGAATCCTTCAATCAATTTTTCTGTCGAGTAATAAATACTAATCTCAGCTAAACTGTTTTGTTACATATACAGCATGCTCTCATCCCAAACAACTCCTTAATCCACTATTTTAATAATAGTCTGTGGATTAAAGGATCTATACAGTACACTGACACAACGTATTGAGGAAAGGATCTATAGACGGACATTTCAGTGATCCATTTTAATGGCATACAAGCTACCATAGCATTACAGCATCAACAGTCTGCAGATTATTTGGTGGGGTTTGAAGCACGCTGCAGCAATTCAAGTTTAAGGAACCTCCTTTGAGGTGAAAACTCTACTAGATTTACTGGGAGAGGGGACTTGGGAATACAAGCATAGGGCATATGAATACTAACAAGCATTCACATACAATCTGCTGTAAAATATACAGAATATTTTGAGTTTTGAAGCCTGCCGAAATAACACCTGTAACAGCAGAGTCCGCTTTTTTGTCCCCCTCCTCATCTACACATACATCATACTTTCCTCCTTGCATGCTCCGTAGCTTTACAGTATTTCACACTGGAAAACCCACTGTGATGGACTTTTTTTATTTGTTTAAAAAAGAGCATTTGCTCCGAGTAGTTCTACTCCTGCTATTTTTCACCTTCTGAACTAAAGCATAAAGTACTCACTTCTGCTGCCACCCTTGCAGCAGCCATCACCATGCCCTGTCGCCTGACTCACACTGAGCAAAACTAAGGTGCCCTGCAGCATAGGTTCTCCTGTGCACTGGGTGCAGTGTGGACATTGCCTGTAGTTCCTGCTTCTAGCAAGCCCAGGTGTTGCATATGAGGAAAGAATCATAGCATCATAGAATCATAGAGTGGTCTGGATTGAAAAGGACCACAATGATCATCCAGTTTCAACCCCCCTGCTATGTGCAAGGTCATCAACCACTAGATCAAGCTGCCCAGAGCCACATCCAGCCTGGCCTTGAATGCCTCCAGGGATGGGCATCCACAGCCTCCCTGGGCAACCTGTTCCAGTGCGTCACCACCCTCTGTGTGAAAAACATCCTCCTAATATCTAACCTAAACCTTACCTGACTCAGTTTGAAACCATTCCCCTTGTCCTACCACTATCCACCCTCGTTCCAAACAACTCGTGGCCTTGTGCACTGGTAAATGAATACTTGGCACTCAGGAAACAGACCTGCTCCCAGCCAGTGGAAACATATGCTCAGTGGATCACAACAAATAAAACATGAGGCTATATAAGGAATGAGAAAGAAAACCAATACTGAAACCACACTACTTTTTGAAATGTATCACAAGCTCCTACCTGGAGCATTGGCAAGCACAGCTCCCCACTTCAAATTCCCTTACAAACTGTGTTTCCAGGCAGCGCATGGAGCACGTAGGCTGTGAACCACTTCCAGCATGCCAATATCTGACTTTTCTGAATTGCAGTGGTTCCAGGCAGATGCTTTTCAGTAATCTTCCCCAAAAGCTGTGTAGTAAGTATAACATTATCTGAACTGGATAGCAATATGCACTCACTGTAAAATCCTCTTAATGTACGAAGTAGGGCTTCTATAACTTGATACTTTCTAGCTAGTGTTTTCTTTGATTTACTGTGAGACCTGCTCTAGTAGTTCTTACTTCCTGCAGCTCCACCTCAGCTACTGGCCCTTCATTTTTTCCAGATGTTTCTCCCTTTTCTAGCTTTCATCTTCCCTCTGTGGCACTGAGTGCCGACCATCCCACAAGGAACCTTGAGGAAGCAGAGAATTGCTTGTGAGGCCTGAGGGCTGAGCAGGGGCTGCCTGCTCCAAGGAGAAAGGCTCTCAGTCCGTTGTCTGAAGAGGAGGTTGGGGAGAAGAAAAGTAAATACTTCCTGCTCGCCCACCCATCTTTCTTCTGGCTCAGAACCCCTTCTCTGCCTCTCCTTCCCCTCGCTTAGCCACCCCCACTCATATCACCCCGTTATCACCTTAACCCACTGCCCAGGCCAAGCCTGTCTCTCCTCCAGGAGAGCAGCGAGTCCCAGCCAAGGCCCCGAGGAGCTGTCACTGCGCTGAGCCATCAGAGCAGGCCCCAAGCAGCTCTGGCACCACAGAGGCCCCGTGACACAGCCGGCCATCACAAATGCCCTCCTGTCAGAAAGCGTCTCCGAAACCTCCGCAAGATCGGTGCTGACAGATGTTTATTCCCCACTTTTGCACAGGGAGCTGAGGACGCCCTTTGTGCTCACAGCACCACGAGGAAGGCAGGCCGCGCCCGCACTGCTGCGATGCTCATTTCTCTCTTGCAAATCACAGTAAATGAGCATCAGGAGGACGGCGACGCGCAACGGCTTCGGGCGGCAGCACGGGGCTCTTCGCTACATGGCTTCCACACAGACTCCAATAAAGATCGCGTATTTTTATCAGGGCGGCTCTACGACCCTTCTACAACACGGCAGGGCCGCTGCCGGCTACCCAGCACCCGCACCGTCACCTCGGAGCCCTGAGGGAGGCGCTGGGGTCACGCGGGCGGGCAGAGGGCGCCGCGCTGAGGGAGCGCAGCCGGCAGCCAGGAGGCGCCCCGCTACCGGCCGCGCCGAGCGCCCCGCCCCTCCTGCCAGGGCACGTGGGGGGCGGCTCCACACCCCCACGTGGCGCGCGACACACCTCCTCCTCCCTTCCCACCAATCAGCCCCACGGGGGAGGGGCGCGGCGGCGTTCCCCAGCCAATAGGCAGCGGCGGGGCGGGGCGAGGCGGCGATGGCGGCGGCGGCGGCGGCGGCGGTGGCGACGGCGACGCGGGGCTGGCGGTGGCTGTGAGTGAGGCGGCGCCGCCCCGCGGCACGAGCGGATCGGGGGCGAGGGAGCGGGGTCGGGACGCGGCGCCTGAGGGGGGCGCTGTGCGGAGAGGGCGGTGCGGGCGGTGCGGGGCAGGCGTCGGGCGGTGCGGAGGGCCGGAGGCGGCGCGGGCGGAGGGGCGGGGAGGTGAGTGGCCTCCGTGCTCTGACCTCGTGACGCCCCACCTGCGGCACCTGAGTGGCCTGGATACTGTGGGCATTTCGTAGCTGATTGCAGCTCGGAAAGCAAATGGGATCCTGGGCTCCATCAGAAGAGGGGTGGCCAGCAGAGACAGGGAGGTGACTGTCACTCTCTACTCTGCCCTTGGGAAGCCCCATCTGGAGTACTGCGTCCTGGCCTGGGGAATCCAGTACAGGAAGGACATGGAGCTGTTGAAGAGGGTCCAGGGAAGGGCCACAAAGATGATCAGGGGGCTGGAGCACCTCACCTATGAGGACAGGCTGAGGGAGCTGGGCTTGTTCAGCCTGGAGAAAAGAAGGCTGCAGGGTGACCTCATTGCAGCCTTTCAGTACCTAAAGGGAGCCTACAAACAGGAGGGGAATCAACTCTTTGAAAGGGTTGATAACAGCAGGACGAGGGGAAATGGTTTTATGTTGAACGAAGGGGAGATTTAGGTTGGATGTCAGGGGGAAGTTCTTTACAGAGAGAGTGGTGAGGTGCTGGAACAGGCTGCCCAGAGAGGTTGCCGTCCCTGGAGGTGTTCAAGGCCAGATTGGATGGGGCCCTGGGCAGCCTGGTCTAGTATTAAATGGGGAGGTTGGTGGCCCTGCATGTGGCAGGGGGGTTGGAGATTCATGGTCCTTGGGGTCCCTTCCAACCCTGGCCATTCTGTGACTATCAGAAGAGTATGTGATGAGTCTGTAATAAACATAAGTATTGCTGTGTACAGACAGTATTGACCATGGTGTTCTTGGGGAGCCCTGGGACTTGTTTGTGCTGTGCTAGGGGCCTTACAGTCCAGGTTAGGCTTTCCTGCCTTCAGTAACACCATCCTGCAGGGCACCCAGCGTCATATCCCAGCCTCTGTCTGACTGACTGAGCCTGCTGCTGGAGAGTTGCATGCATGTAAATGCCTTTCCTTTTCCCCCTGTACAGGATCGTATATGCTAAGAAGGACATAAAACTGTTAGCATCCAAGGAAGGGTAACAAAGATGTGGAAGGGTCTGGAGGACAAGACATGAGGAGCAGCTGAGGTCCCCGGGTTGTGCTCAGAGCAGCTGAGCTAATGGCGGCTGCAGCTCCTCACAGCTCTGCTCTGTGTGACAGCGACAGGGCCTGAGGGAACGGCATGGAGCTGTCAGGGGAGGGGCAGCTGGGGGTCAGGGAAAGGGGCTGCACCAGGGGGTGATGGGCATGGAATGGGCTGCCCAGGGCTGTGGGCACAGCCCCGAGTGCTGGAGTTCACAGAGCATTTGGACACTGCTTTCAGACATAGGGTTTGGATTTTGGTGATCCTTTGTGGAGCCTGGAATTGGACTCGATGACCTGCCTGATTCCCAGCAGATGTCACAGCCTGTCAGCAGTGGGAACTGCCTGTCCCTCATCACCCGTGCAGCTTTGGAGCCCAAAGGGCTGCCACGCAGGTGCAGTCCACAAGCTCTGGCAGGACCTGAATTTGGGGCAGCTAAGCGGTTGCTGACCTGAGCTGGATGAAGAACCAGGAGTCCTTGCTCACATTTCAGCTGGACAGCCATTTAGCTGTGTGCAATGCAGACAGAAAAGACAGGGATGACTTCAAACTTTGGCAATTGATGCACCTGTTGGTTGGATTTCATTAGCAGCTTTGTGGTCTGTAGCAGGAGCTAGCAGGCGCTCTGGGTCTGGACATCAGTGCATGTCCTATGGCTGCCACTTTTGTGTCTTTACGAAGATGTTGCTGTCCTTGCAGTGCTGCTGTGAGAATGCTGTTGGAGTATTTGTGCTGTTAGCAGGAAGATGAAACTGACGGTGCTCAGAGCATTTACAATCTGTTTTTGCTCACTTGTGATTTTCCAAGGCCTTTTGGGCTTCCCCTGCTTTGGAAAGATTTTTTTCTTGGAAAAAGTTTTTTAAAACTCCTTTCAGCTATTTTGAAGTAATAAATTCAGCTGTTTTTTTTTTTTTTTTCTAATTGCTGGAGGCGTTAAGTGTGCTTTTACAAGCAATATTGCAGTAAGGCATTGCATATGAAAACTTTTTTCACCACAGATCTGTGTGGAGGGTTCTCTCTGCGCTTAGTGTTTTTGATGCAAAAAGAACATTGCACCTGGTTGCCCTCAGCTATCTGACTGCAAGTGTGCTTCCCCCATGAACAAGAGGGCCTTTTACATCTGTTCCTTTACATGGCATGTTTTGGTCAGAAGCATACCCACGTGCCTGCACCACGTCAGTCGAAAGTGACATTGCTAACCTCGCATCTTGGCGGAGTGCTGCAGAGTATGGAATGCACGATGTGGATGTGTACAGCTTTGGGAGTGCTGCTGGAGGAGTGCTGCTTCTGCTGCTGTGCCTCTAAATGAGCGTGATGGATTGCTGTGGTGTGGTGAGGCTCACCGAGTGTCTTCTCGGAAGGTAATAGAGGATTAATGATAATTCCTCGTCACGTCTCGCTCAGGGACTCTGCGTATGTCATCTACAATTTCTGCCCTTGGAACAGAAGATATTTTGCAGAATTGGGAGTTTCTTCTGTTGTCTCCAGTTGCTATCTTCTCTCCCAGGATCCTGCTGCTGTTTCATCTTGTATCTCACAGGACAAGTTTGAGTCTGCTTGGCAAATTAGTCTTGATGATGCTTTTCATGGATTGGACGCTGGAGGGTGCTAATGCAATGAGATCTGAAATTGTTTCAGCAAATTAAAGGGTTCCCCTTTGTTACTTGTGAAATAGTTCTATTCTTTGTTGCAACATTTAAATGGGAAGACATCATCTGTGGTCCTCACTGGCAGCTGATCTTGCTCAGTGTGTGTAGTGCTCTAACCAAGCATGTCAATAAAGCATTAAGTCTGTGAGGGATTTCTTTCCTGAACCTTTGTAAAAAATAATAATAATAATAATAATCATTCATTTTGTACTCAACGCATTTTTAAGTGTGTCTTTCAAGATTATGGGCTTGGGATGAGTTTTACTGACTTTCTAGTGAATGATAAGAACGCTCTATGAGGCAGAACTGTTGAGAAACATCTACAAAACCTGTTTTTCTAGAAAGTGATTTTGGTTCACTGAAACTAGCATGGTCACATTGCTGGCTAGGTGAGCACCTGATCGTGGCTCGTGTGCTGAGGAGGAGAGGGGTGGCTTGAACACCACTGATGGAGTCCCTCATGCTGTGACCCTCTGTCTGGGGATCAACCTGATTGAGCTCTCTAACATCAAGCTTTGGGGTGGCTATATGTATCATATATGCACCATACTTGCTTAAAGGTGTTCCTGCTGGCCTAACATTATGCTGAGCCTATCTCTGCTCTCCTGTGCAGTTGGCAGAAAGATGCCAGCTCCCTGGTGTGTGCTCTGGCAATTCCATACCCAGTATTAGGGACTGCTTGAGCCAGTTATTGTCCTGGCAGCAGCAGAGGTACGATGCTGTCTAATTAATGCTAATGAGAAGCAGGGTGCAAAGCCAAGTGTGTACAGCTGATCACCCCTGGCACCCCAACAAGTCTGCTTAAAGCTGTCTCAGTCCTCAGCGATCCTTCATGGCCCTCCACCTGCCTTTGTGGAACCATTAGCAAAATGGGAGCTGCCAGTTATAAAGTGTTTGAGCAAAACAGGTTTGTTGCAAATACGCTTTCGCTAGAGATCTTTCTCACAAGGTGTGAGTGAATTACTGCTGTATCTTGTTCCCCTTTCCAACGCATTGCTCTGTCTTCTCCAGGAAAGCATTACTTTGTGTTTGTTCTTTCGCAGGCGTTGCAGTGTGCTTACATACAGACTGGTGCAGTTTTTCCTTCCTTCTAGAAATACGCAGCAGTTTTTCTCTTGAACAGAAGATGCAGATGGGCATGGAGAAAAGAGCTGTGTGTAAGGGAACCGGGTTAGGTCCTGCTCTGGCACTGTTTGAGATACACTTGCTCACCCAGCAACACAGCCGGCGTGGCTGGTTACGCCGCTTGGCATGATGTCAAGAACCGATACGCTAGCAGTGGTGCCAAAAGGATTTGCAGTTGTGCATTTCATGTGGGCTGCGGCCTAATTTATCCTGAGAGACCCGTGACTGGCAGAGAAGGTTCACGGGCCTTATGCCATAGGCACTCAACTGCACGGCGTTGCGTTTAAGTGCTGCCAACTGCTGGCTGCTGAACTCAAGGCGCAAAGCCACCCCTTGATGGGAGGGGAGCGGGCCGTGCCTGGGCTGCCCAGCACGTCGCTGAGTGCAGCCTGTCTGCTGCTCACGAAAGCCGTGCGAGCGAGCTCTGCGCGGCTCTGCTGCCTTATGCGACAACGAGCTGCTGGGCTGGAGGCCTCTGCGATCAGGGGTTGCTCAGGCCGGGGGAAATGCCCGTGCTACTGGATGTTCCTGAGGCCGCCTGCCTTGCCTTCTGCCCTCTGCTGCCGTGGGCAGGGCGACCACGCCTGCTTCCTTCTCTGCCATTTTAATTAAAAATGGTTGGCATCGGGGCTCTGCAGCAATGAAAGGGAAATGATGGAACTTTGAAGAATTTGGGGCATAAAGTCGATCTCTAAATTTTAATGTACTCATTGCGTTCAAACAGTTAATAGATGCGTTTTATTATTGGGCTTTCAGGTGACCTAATTTCCCTTAGTACTGTACATTTAGCTTTATACATCTGCACCTAATTTGTAAAAAAGGACTTAATGAGAAACTTCAAACAGTTTAAATGTCAATTACAAAGCAAGAGAGGTTTTAAGGTTCCAGTAATCTGTCCATATTGGTCATCGAAACATGATCCCAGGTGGATGTTAATTCAAGACAGATGGCATTCCAAAGGCACAATTACAAAGAGCTTATATATTTTCAACACTAACAAGCTGTCACGCTACGTTGTAGCTACACTTCCAATACTGTATTACTACAATTACTGCTTTATCTGGTGTGGACTTGGTAATAAAGGGGTTTGATTCCCCACTCTTGAGTTGTCAGTGGGATTTCTGAGGTGAACTGGAGAGTGGGGTAAGGTAGAGTGAATATCTTTCATTTGGTCATGCTGCTGGGTTATTTTGTTTGATTGGCTGGTGGTTTGGTTGTTTTGGTTTGGTTTTTTGTTGTTTTTTTTTTTTCTTTTAAGTTGGTGAAATGCTATTCAAAGGAAGGAGGGGGAATATTGCATACATGCACAACAAGACTAGCTCATCACAGAAGGATTTCTATTTCCTGGCAACAATAATTAGCATTAGTCTTATCAGCTGCTAGGAAATAGCTATGACGACCTGTTGAAACCCACAACATCCTGGATGTTTTCACTTAAAAAGTCATCTGAAAGCTTTTGGAGCAATGCATGTGTTACTTGGAAAACTGAAGTCAAAGGGATTGATTGTGACTTTACTTGCAATGGTGTCAAGAGGGAGCAGTTCCACCACAGCTGGGCAGAAGCAGTACACCCAGAGCAAAATCAGGTTTGAATTATTTGTAGGTTTCTAAAAGGGTGATTAGGGCCATAGGCAGAGAAAGAGGGGCTGAATGATACAGGCTAAACGCAGGACTTCCCTTAGACCTAAGCATCAGCCTGTGGTAGACAGCAGGATCTGGTGTGAAATGTTTGATCTACGTGTCATATTTTAGGTGGACAGGGATCTGTGTAACTGATCATAGCTATGTGAAACACAGTAGTATGTAATTTCCACTAATTTGTTTGTTTGTTTCTTGAAACCAGGTCATGAAAAAGCCAGACTTGCACTGCTCTGCCTGGATAGTGTTTTAATAGGCTTTAAAAATTCTACACTTTTAGGAGCAAGATTAATAATTCTCCCCAGGAAGGTTTTTAAGCTCCTGTGGGTGCGTGTATTCTTTAAAGAGGTTCTGAGAGTGAAGGGCTTACACGTCTGCTAATTTATCTACCTTTCACTGGAAAGCAGAGCAGGAAGCAGGAAGGCTGTGATGCTTCATCCTCAGAGTGCTGGAGTTAAGTGGTGAGGTTTTGCTTTTTAATTTTTGCTTTCAGTTAAAGAATGCTGCAGATGTGTTTTCTGAAAGTACCTTGCTTCCTTTTTGGAGGAGATGCAAGTGTTGTTTGAAATACGCAGCTCGTCAATAAGTGAACTGGACTCCTGAGCTACGCTTGAAACAAAATGCCAATTTTACCTACAGTTTTACTAGGTTTCCTGGTTTATACAGTGGCATTTCAATGGCCTCTAGTAATTGTTTTTAGCAGGAAAAAAAAAAAAATCAAACAAAAATGAAAAACACAACCCAAAGCTCATTAGCACAGAATTTGGCATGCCTTGAATCGTTAAATCTTTATATAAATGCAGAAGTAATTTGTAGCAAACAAAGTCCTTTATTTTTTTTCGGGAAAGGCTTTCTTTTGAATTTTCAATTCTGGCTGCTGAGGTCCAGGTTGTTTTCCAAACGTCAAGTGTGAATTCAAGAACAGAGGAGGAACCAATTCATGTTTTAATTAAATGTTATGTGCGATTCTTGAGTGTCAAATATACTAATGGTGATAAATGAGCAAAATTGTTTGGAAAACAAAAGGTAATAAGAGAATGCTTAGATGAGTTTTTACATCCATGTATTTAACTCAAATTCAACACCAGCAGTGTTGCTCTCAAGTGTTTTCCCCTCAGATTCTGCAGTGCTTATCAGGGTAACACACCGTAGGCCTTTTATTTGTATCAGGCTGAGGTTGAGAGCTAACTGATTTTTAAAGCCAGAGCAGGGAGCTTTCTTGCACCTGGAAAATGAGGAGAGCAAAAGCAAGGGACATGTCCGCATCCTTTCCCTGATGGCTCTTCACCTGTGAATTTGAACTGCAGTGGTAATAAAAGTTTTGTGGACCTCATTTTATGTGAGATCATTAAGTGACAGGAGAATTCAGGCCTAGCTGCCCTTCATAATTCAGGACACCGAAAGGTGCCATTTATAAGCTCAAAGCGCCTGCGGGAAGGCAAAACAGGCTTGTAAAACTTAGGCTCCAAACTCCGAAAGGTAACTTGTTTGTACTGCTGGCTGTAGAACGTCAACAATGCAAAGGTGGTTGGTACTGGTTTTAAAAATGGAAAAACACCTGCCTCTAAGAGGAACTAATAGCCTGCATTTTCATAATTCTGGTGGTGGTGTGGCTTTTGCCTCCAAAGAAAATCCCAAAATATCATGGAGAATGAGCCAGGAAAGACACTGGCAGCTCAGGAAACAAGTCCAGTCTTGGTTCTCCTGTTTTCACTGGTATGCTTCCACTGTTTATGATCAAAATGGAGCAGTTAATGCCTGGAGATGTTGGTTGTTGTGGCAGGACTTTGGTTGGTTCATTTTGTCGTTTGCTCAGTCAGGCTCTATCATACATTCCCAAATGTATGATAGAAATTTAGCCATCCATATCTAAAATAACTACTAGTTATCCGGTTAAACTGTTCAATCTTGTTAAAGTCCCTTAACTACAATTAGTTGGGTGTCAGTTTGCACAATCAGAACCTAAATTCCAATGAAGACAAGAGCTGACTGCACGTCATGTCTGCCTGCAGCACCTCTGTTTTGCTAATCGCCATGAATTCAGCATCTACATGCTTATGCACCCGGTTTTCAGCAGCACTGGGCTATGGAACCGTACCTAAAGTGGCACCTCTCAGAAGACATTTTATGTAGGATCCACAGAACTGGCAGCGATTTGGAGACCTATGTTTATTATGCCATTCTTACACTGCTTTTGTTGCCACGGTTGACGTGCTTGGGGCCCTAAAGCATGGAGTTTAGTATGACCCCGGGGCCTTTCCAAGTTTGACTGCAGGACTCAAACCTTTATATCCACTATTAAAAGGCAGTTATATGCCTGTTTATGTTAGAGCCAGGTGCTTTGTTGCCTGTGGACATGCTGTTATTTGACAAAACTTGTGGTTTTTCTCTTTGTCATCAAAATATGAGAAGTGTTCATACTGTACTTACATTTATCCCTCCCTCTTTGCGAATGGACTGGCTGACTTCAATGGACTGCTTTGATTCCTGCAGGAGGATTCGAGTCAGGGTTTTCCAGCTCTCCGTAAGGACGTGTCTAACAGCACTACCACAACACCATTACTTCTGTATTTTCTTCATGAAAAATACGCACTTGCTAGGTGGCATTTCAGTAACATCTTTTCAATGACATTATTTGCACAGCATTTTTCATTTAAGCTCTCTAATCCATAGTACATTTCTAGAGTTTTGTGTGTTCATTTATTTAGGCTTTGTGGGCTTATTGCAATAAGCATCAGCTTTTTTGTTGTTGGATCTGTAATAACACTGAAGCACTCCAAGACACTTTGGGTTGTGTCAGTGCAAAACACTGACTTTGGTACACTGGAAGCATAAAATCTGTTTTCTTACTAACTGTTTCTTTGGGAAGTTGATAGATGTGAAAAATGTTTAACAGGTTTTTTTCTTTCCTGTGAAACTAAGCTACCGAGGAAATCTTCTACTGCTACATGCTGCAATATGTCAGAAACACCGGTATGTTATAGTTGCATCATTATCTAAAGGAAAAATTGAGTGTGGGTTTGAAGTCGACAAGTGATGAAAGTAGCTCTGAGGTTGTCAATTAGAAAGCCAAGGCCTGGAATTGATAAGTTAATGGCCGGTTCCCTTGTCACCCCCTCACTTTTCTGCCTGCTCCCTCCTCACCCCGCAGCAGCTTTATTGCTCAGAACATAAAGGAAAGGCTCGTGTTGCTTTGTGTCCCAAGATTTATCTCACTAATATCCTTCACTTACATTCGTGGCGGGTTGCAGTGTTCTTAGTGTAGACAGGTAGCTAAGCACGGAGAAATGAAATGCAGCAGAAAAAAATTATTCTCAAAGTGGTGCCTTTTTTTTTTCTTTTGTACATGGAGTACATGCAGCAAGTTTGGAAGCATTACATAATTCAACTTGTCTGTGACATTCAGTGGCAGCCAGTTGGAATCCATGTGCTCCCCTTAATGGTGGAGGGCAACGTGCATTTTTTTTTTTCCAAAGGGAGATACTGGTTACCAAAGTTTGTGATATAATGCCATATAATGCAATAGTGTTTGCATTTTCCTTGGGCAGGAAGGAGCAAACATATTGGCAATTTCTCCTTTCTAGAGGAACGTGGCTTTAGACAAATAGGTAAATTCTGGAGCGTAACAAACAAGATTTTAATCATTCTAGGTGCGCCGTATTGTGGGAATCCTCCCAAACTCATGTAAGCAACTTTAAAGGAGTATTAGGAGTAAAACATATTTCAAACAGGCATTGCACAAAACAGGGTACGATTCGTTTTCAGTTTCTGAAAAGCTTATGTACAGTGTGAGGTGTTTATGGCTTGTAAAAGGCTGCAGATGGGCGCTCCTGAACTCTGAGGTTTTCTGCTCATGGCACAGCTGCTACAGTGACAATGGAAATCCAATAATTTTTTCCACATAACCATCTCAACCAGACGAGTAATAATTAAGGGTATGAGAAGGCAGTTTAATTTGTAAGCACATTCAGCTTTTTGACCTTTCTGGTGCTTTCCCAGTGACCGGCAAACATCTGTTGAATGGTAAAAAAACTGCAGTTGCTGTTTACCTGCAGCAAATAATCCAAACAGGGAGCTCGGTGTATGGCTGGTAATCTGGTGTTCCTCTCTCCTTCGGCAAGGTCTCAAAATGTGAAATAAATATTATTCTAGCTTAATTCACAGGAAAAGACATGTGACATCACGCTCAACAGCTGAGTGCTGGATGGCGCTCCCTCTGCCTGAGGTACCAGCCCAGCCCAAGAGCCAAGCTGCAGCCTTCTCCATCCCTCTGCAGGAGGTTTGACTACAGAAGAGGTAGCACAACACTATTTTCCATAACTACTTGTTCCTTCTGTACCATACTTTGACTTTTTTCCTGAGGTACCTCTGTCTCATAATACTCATAAATGTTGAAAATGTACGGTGATTTCTTACATATTGTGGCTCTGGAGTTCTTACTAATAAGGGAATGAGCTCCTCTAGTGTTCTGTTCCAAGACACATTATCTCAAGGTGAAGAAAGATCACAGCATCCAGATTAGCCTGGTCTGTTCATATCACCCCTAACAGACAGATAGCATAATCACAGGCTTCCCTCCTAAACTGGTCCTTTTCTTGGCATTTTGTTTTATCAATGCAGGAGATTATTACAGTTACTATTTTGATTTTTTTTTTCCAGAAAGCTTATAGTGTTAGATCAGCAATCCTCACCTTCCAGAGGAATAGGTATCGCTTTCTGGACTTTTCTTCCCTCAGTCTCTTTCATTTAATTTTATACCTGTTGCCTAGTAGATCTGTTGCTTAGGTACCATTTGGAAAAGCCAGTCTGTCAAATTTTGGCAGTGCCAGTCACTGTTCTGCAAAGGGCAGACCAGTGCCAGAAATCTCCAGCCATCTCTTTCTTATATTGCAGCAGGGTGTTGGCCTCTGCACGTGCTTTTCTTTCCCCCCTCCCATTTGTTTTTTGCTGTTATTTAACTACATTTTCTCACTGATGGTAATCTTTCAGGGGAAATCTTTCTTCCCAGCAAGGATGAGACCACGTAAGCTCTTCAGCTCTTTAGAAGCCTGCTTGAAATTGATCACTTCTGTCTGAAGGTCCAAAACCTTACTCTGAACTTTTGACACTGCAGAGATTTATAGGGCTAAAAAATTAAAAGCGTTCCCTTGCACCCATGTGCTGTAGCTCTTCTGACAAATACCTGGAATCATACATGGTGTTCCTTCCTTCCTGTGCCAGTGGTCTCAAACCTGGAGCTCCTGCCATGACTCATGTTCTCCATATTCAGAATCTTAAAAAAGGGAAAAGCTTGTCTAAATTCAGCAATTTAAAACTTTTGGAACGGATGAAAAACATGGTCAGTACGCTAGAAATCAAAAAGAAAGGAATAAAAAGTGCTTACACAAAGGCATGACAGAAGAGAGAATGATGACTTGGCATTTCCAAATTTTGAAATCTAAAGTAGTCCACTGTTATTTCAACGCAGACAAGAAAGACTTCCTTCGACTGTGTCTGAAATATACTGTCAAAGGGCTGCATTTCTTGAGGCACCTGCAGGGTTTATTTTTCTTTGAGTGTGAGGGCTTTTCTGAAAATCAGCTTCTTTGTCCTCTTTCGTTTGGGAAATGATCTGCTAACCTTCAAACACCGCCAACAAGTTGGAAAATCTTAAAGAGAAAAAGGAATGCACAGGGGCTTAGGTTTGGAACTGTAATGTGTGACTGTATAAAATCATTTATTCACTAGGGAATGTAGGAGCCAAAACTAAATGGTTTCAAGCCAAATGTAAACTTATAGGAAGAATTAGCAAGAGTTCGGGCCTCTCTGGTATTACAGACCTCAAGGATACTTGGAAGTCTTGACCACCTTCCTGATGTATCTGCTGCAAAGCATTACAAGGTCTGCTGTGTTGGGAGGACAGGCTGTAGAATATCTTCACTCTACAACCATGAAGAATGTTCAGAAAAGAAAGGTACTGACATTTTTTTAACATTTTAGACATTTCCAGTTTCTTTTTTTCAGACCGCTTTCTGATTCTACAACTGATACAAATATTTTCTAGCATTTTTGTATAGAATATATGAGACGAAGTCTTGCTAGCTTGCACCATTAGTAGCTGTGATGCCAGC